CAGTAGGGAGACGCGCGTGAAGGGTAAACGTCGAACGAGGGAGGTGAAGCGAGAGGGGATTACGCGACAGAACGGTTGACAGTGGTGTCAAGTTCACGCGGATCGCGAACAAGAAATATCGCACGACACCCTCGATACTCGCGCGCCGAGAGACCGGCTTCGACTGTCGAGCGATGCCTGACTCGACCCGCTGGTCGCCACCGCTGTCAACGACACGCGGACCACGCACCCTCTCTCGCGTCTACGAGCCTCTCTCTTTCTCTCTCTCTCTCTCCTCTCGCTTGATTCTACCCCCTCCCGCAGCAACTCGTATCGTTGGGTCGCGACTACGCTATCTTTTCCCCCTGAAACCGACGTGGCGCCCCTCCACCCACGCCGTTCACCGCCGACGCGAACCCTCGCGAGCCGGCTACCGTCGAATCAACGCGCATGCGACCGTCTTCCGTTCCGCGGGAGGAACGAATTTCGAGCGTGTCGGGATGCGCGGTGAGTTGTAATTGAAATCATGTGGGATTAACTGAAGAGTTAACACTAGGCTTACCGAGCCAGTCACTTTGACGCGTATTGAATTTTATAAACGTTGTGTGGCAAATTATCGAGGCGATTTTCATTGCAATTACACGGGTCTTCATTGTCTGTCTTTAACCTTTCGTGGACGAAGATTCTTTGAAATATACGAAACCTTCGGCAGATGAAATTAAATTATGTGTTAATTGATTAATTAGTAGGAAAAGCTGTTCGATCTTGCTGTTCGAGTAGTTAGCCCTTTGCACTCGGGAGGTGACTCGCAGTCAACACTTGATTTGACGCTTTGACGATTTAAATGGACGAACATCAATTTTTCTAGAACTATAGAACAAGTTGCAGGGTAGACGTCTAATAAATCTAGTGTTCAGCAGACGAGATTGTTTTCCAATTCTAACGTTTGTTTTTATGAAATACTGAATTATGCATCGGAGTCTTGATTAGATTGCGCTGGAAATTAATTCAGGGATTTGGTAAAGTCTGGCGTGAGGAATTTGGTTTTCATCTGTTTTACGCAGATGTGTAGTTTTGTTTATTAACACTGGAACTACCGATAATGTGATTGGTATGTAATTCTTATGAAAATTAGGATAATAGATTTTTGTTTATTTCTAAAATCACTCATTATAATATGAAAGTGCAGCTATTGATTTGTAAAATAATTTTGGATATTTGATACTCTTATGATAGAATTGCGAAATAAGAAAACTGAAACCAAACGTTTTATCTGATTCGGTAGCTCTAGTGTTAATCGTTTTGTATAGAGTGATACATTTCAAAAGAATCTAGTATGTGTAATGTAACAAAACTATCGATATTCTTTTATTTTAACATATTATAATAAATTATTCTTCTATAGCTCTTATAGCAATAATGTTTACTGGGAAATTACTAAAGAAACTAATTCAGTAATAGCTAAACTGAAACATAAAATTTCTCTAAAGAAATTATAGTTTCTAAATAAAAATATTCAATTGATCTTCAAACAGTACACTCCAGAAGTCGAATGCTCAATTTTTAATTATTAATATTTCTAAGATGCAACCTTAACTTCCAACAAAAAAAATAATTCTCCAAAATGAATTTCAACGAAGAACATCCACTCTTTCGATTTCGTGTTCTATATTTTTTGGTACACCCAGTGTATACATCTGACGCGACTCAAAGTGACTGCTGACCCATCACAAGTGACACACTACGGGAACAGTTGTTCGGTCTTTCTTGACCCTGTTCAGGTTTTTTTCTCTCCGTTGAGCCAGGTCGCGCACGCCAGATGTTTGCCGAAGAACGAGCCGGAGAATTTCTATCGGAATGACGTTCCGCGGCAGCGATCGTTTGAGGTAGATCGTACGGTTAACGGTGTGGCAATAAGCGTAGCGGAGCCTTAACAATCTGAGTGTTACGTCAGTCATATATGGGTGACACGGTTTTTGGTTCGCAGCTAACAAGTCATTTTTCCGGTGCGGTATTGGATAAAGCGAATGTAATTGGAGTGTACGAGATTCAAGGAGGTTAAATGAATAACTGCCGTGATAAGTAGACTGCACGCCTGCACTCGGAGAAAACAATAAAATAAGGAACTTCGGACGCAGAGAAGCATTTGTGTCCCTTGCTTGATCAATGAAGACACTTCGTGGAAGAAACATGTTTCTACTTAACGCCAGATTTACGGATATTTACAGTATAGTTTGTCCTATTGTTCTTAGAAAGATTGATATTCGTTTATTTAGATTTTAGAAATTAGAGGGTTAAAAGTAAACAATTGGTATATATTTGTGTAACTGTCAAATTGATCCAAATGTTTACCAAATAATATTTATAAAATTCAATGTGAGTCAAATTGACTCGTTCCGCAAATCTAGTGTTAATGGCACTGGGAATTTTTAAGGGAATAACAGATAATTTGTAGAAACAGTAAATAAATAGAAATATACTTCTTTTATTATAAGTTTTACTTCTTACTTTTTTAGATTCTCGCGATGACTCTCATTATATCTTTTCATGGAAATCTCAGAATGCAAATGAAGTATATAAAAGTTTGAATATTTTGTTGGGTAGTCATTTTAATAAACCATTAGCTCCTAATATAATTCCATCAGAACGAAGGCAATAAATTAACTTACGTTGAAACTGTTTTAATTGTACAAATATGATAGCTCGAGATCTACAGTTCTCCAAGCTTATTTTTATCATAGAAAACAAATAAATGGTCTCAACGTAAAAATGCACAATAAACGGATAGTAAGTTAACGGCATCCGGAAAACTCAGAATCACGCAAACGCGTCAGTCATAACGAGATAATTTTAGTTTTTTAGAGAATTCCAGTTGCAATCTACATGTGTGTTTCTATCGCAACTCGAATCAGCGCTGACCATCAAAATGTCACTGACAGTTTGCTCTTGTCCCATCGTGCATACAAAATGAGCGAGGTTACATAATACCTGACCTTGTTTCTTCGTACAGAAGCCTCCCCTGCCACCTCGACTGCTATTAATCTTCACGATAAACCAATTACCTTCGAGAAAGACCGGTCGAACTGTAATCCGCTTAAGAATTTCTGCATTCGTTCTCGCGGCTAATTCATCTCGTATTTTCCACATTTACTTAATTCTCGGGAAATTAGTAAGCATTTAAAAGGGAACAAGGTATATTGCGCAGAAGTTATGAATGGATATTTTCAACGAAAATGAGGATGGCTGTGATAGCATAAAGTATTATTTAATATTGATACTACTACTTTCTTTATTGAATAATTGTATTTATCAAAAAGAGAAAAACTTCTACTAAGTCTTGAAATACAATTCTCCCAGATTTAGGTAATTATTAACAATACCGTGAAACATGAAATTTCAAAACAAGGAATTTGATTATTGTATTATACGAGAATTATTTGTTGCAAATCAATGTTCGTAAATTATCTTCTGAAAAATCGTAATAAATGATAAATTACACAACAGATGAGGATCTTTACAAAGTAAAACAACAAGCCTGCAAACTATTAAAGAAAAATTCTAGTTATTTTTTTCATTTTTCTTACTACAATTCACTATTTTATCTCTTTAACAATTATTGTATAAAAATTCATGCTCTAAAGTCGAATAATAACATGAACTTGCCATCCAATAACCAAGACATTTCTGACATTATTAAATTCAACGCTTGTAATTTTATTTTAACATCTTCCCGCCATTTTGATCTTTGATTCAGCCATACAAAATCAAAAATATACCTTCAACTTACCTAAACAATCCATATTGTCAACCCTTTGCAAACGAGAATATTTTAAACTTACGAAAACTTGTTCGCAAAAAAAAAACTGAATTTATTCATTCGCAGTTTCCGAATTTAGGTATCACAACTCGAAATCATTATGGCGACATTCGTTCGCCGAGGGTCAACGATAACCCGCAGAGAACACATTTAATCAGAATTTCTCCTTATTTCAGTGTCGTGCACCCTCGTAACTTGCAACCCTGTTTCCACACGTTTCCTTACACTTTATACATCAAGGTGGAAAGGAGACAAGGTTGTCGAGTGTCTCGGGGGACGGTTAGCCATCTGTGTTTCCGTGACGAAAGAAATCGAGCCATTACGAGCGAGTCGTTCCGCAGATTTAAATTCTAATTCGAGGTCGGCGACGGTAGGGCTCGGTTAAGTTCGCCAAGCGAGGCGAACTAATGCCCCCGCCCAGCGAGGCCCCCGAAGGAATTTGTAAATTCGACGGTGGAAGTTTTAATCGTCCATCAGGGAAGAAACGAGCAGCACGAACTTTTCGCATAATAATTCTTTCCTAGGTTTCCCGCGATGGGCCCGCGCGCTACGTCGACCGGGAAAATGAGGAGGAACGATTTTCGCGAGGGAACGAATATTTCCTGCAACTACGGATACCCCGCGAAGTAACCCTTCAACTATATTTCCTTTTTATTATTCGCGATTCGACTTAACGCCTGGTTAAATATCTTCAACTTTTAACCGACGCTTGGGACGATCATTTCTCGGTAAGTGGAGATTTAGAGGATACTTCGATGCAGTTTTTAACTTCTTTTAATGGGAGTCGTAATTGTGAATAGTCAAATGTAGAAAAAGATTCATTTTGAGGAAATATTGTCTTCGCGTGTCTCTTTATTACAATCGTAGAATACTTTTAGTATATTTATTTTATAGTGACAATGGTAAAGATTTTCAGATGAATCGAAGTGAGATTGAAATGTGAATAGATCGACCCCTAAGTAATCAACGCAAACGTGGTTAATCCTTTGGTTACAACATTTTGCGTCAGCACGTATTCGCAGCATAAACAATCTTATCAAATTTCCACAAGAACACAAGTGCAGAAGAAAATACATAAACAAACATCCAGGTACATAACAACCCACCCAAGAATTAAACAAACCTTCACCAGTTTCAAAGTGCACATTCAACAATCACAAAACCAAGCTAACCTGCAATCCCCAAAGAAAGCACCCCGCTTTTCAACGCGAATTCCCAAAAAACATCCCCTTAAATCGAAGAAATCGATTCGACCTTGTGCCTCATCCATACGTAAACAGTAATCCCTAAAAAAAGGCTGCGTCGCATGTTGTACGAGGGGCGACAGGGAGATTCTTTCAAAATTTAAATGGTCGTCGTCTGCGCAGATTCTCGGGGAATCACAGGGATCCGTGCTGGATTTGAGTGTCGATCAAATCTGACGCCGAGGCGGTCGTTTAAATTTCACGAGACCCGTTGCTGCGCGAGATAGCTTCCTCCGGCGAGTCCGAGCCGCTTCGGGGTCCAGTTTTTACGAAGCGGATGCTTACGTCTTCGGCTCGTTGACGACTCGCGTCCCGTCTTCTAGTCGTATCCGAGGTCGCGGGTTCAGTGGCCGGTTGCAGGGTTAACCTGGCCAGGACTATTTCTCCGGGGATCGAGCGCCTGGCGTTTTTACGAGCGACCACAACGCGCGACACATACCGTTGACTGATGCGTTGGATGACCAATCCACGTTATCTACCACGCGCCGCGTTGACCTAATGATTCACTGTTTTCGGGCATCTGCAGCTTGTCTGGCCAGAACGGGGAAATTGAGGGGAACACAGTTTACCCTCTCCTTGGTGTAACCCTGACTTCTGCGGCGGTTGCGGAGGTTGTTGGAGGATGTCTGCTGACGAGAAATGAGGTAGTGGAAGGGATAAGACAGAGTGGGGACATGAAACTGCTTGGTTGCTTTCTGGCTTCACTCTCTCCAGCAGAGCCACCTACAAAGTCTGAGTCACGACAATTAGAGTTCATCTCTGAAGGCCTTCATACTGTCCACAGACGATATCTTTTCATTTCTCCATTGAGCTGAAGGAGCAAGTACGGAAAGGACCGGGATTATTCGATTATAGTTTGACAAAGTCGGAGAATGAATATAATGAGAAGTGAGAGAATCCTGCGAGCATCGAGGGTTGAGGCGTGAGACTTCAAAATACCGCACGCATCAGATATAAACATACAATAAAGGAAATATCAGTTTCATTAATTTCGATCTTACTTTCTCAAGTAGTGCCAGTGGATTGCAGCTATAAACGATGAGTTTGAGTTTTCCGAAGTTTCGTGATACATGTTGCATTCAAACAAAAAGTAGAAAAGGCTCAATCTATCGCTGCGTGTTCCCGCGTGTTTTGGGCCCTAAGGTTTAGTCATCCTCGTCCTTTTTCTTGGATATTTTAAGATAGAAGCGGCCGAATTGCAAGCAGCATAGAGCATTCGAATTCTGAACCTAGCACCGAAACTCTGTTGAACTCGCTACTCCGCAAGCTTTATGTTTACGTCGTCTACAGTAATAATGCGAAAAATAATGTATTGTATAATATTTACTCATGCGACTTCAGTATTGAAATATGTTTATATTTTCGCTTGTCGATCTTTTCACCCGGTATGCAATAGATGATTTGGTGTCTAACTGGATGGCGAAAGGGCGAAAATGGTCTTTCGCTTTGTGGTTTGTTTATAGTTTTAATTGTTTATGCGTCAATAGGTTGGCGAATAGCAAATTAGTATTGTAAATAAAATGAGTACTGACCAATTGGGCGCAGGTTCCTCAGCCTAGCCATGAAGTAGATAATCTCACCATAAAACTATTGGGGGATGATTCAACGTCCACCTGGATGGCAAAAATCAAGGGAGATTATTCACTGTGTTATTTGTTTATGGTTTTAATTGTTTACGCGTAACCAGATTGGCGAATAGGAAATTAGCATGGCGAATGAAATGAGTACTGACCAATCAAACCCACATTCCTCAGCCTAGTCATCAAGTAATCTTACAATGCTATTATAAGGGGGAGGTTTACTAATAATTTTAATTTTCTACTGAGTAATCTGAAAATTGTCCATGCTTGGAGAATTAAAATAAAATCATTGAATGATCTTCAAGAAAAGAATTACGTAGATTGTCAAGAGATTATATCTACGGTATTTAATGTTCGTCAAACTAATTCCATGAAACTAATGTTGAAATATTATTTTATCTGGATTGTAAGCTTTTGTTATTTTAAGTCACGTTTGAAATATATTCTCGGTAAACTTTACTCAACTCTGAGAATAATCCTCTCGCGATCAGAGAAAATAATAAATTTCAAATATATTACTGTTATTAATAGCCGGCGCCGACAGATGTTGACGTCAGCCTTCGAAGACATGCATTATTTACGAATGGGACAGGAATTCTCCTAATGAACGTTATGAAACTCTTATAAGAATCACAGCACAGTGGATTTCATTAGATTTTTTCGTGTGTGGCAATTGTTTCTAAGATAATGTAAAATTATTCGTGACTGTTTATCCACCGTAGAAACTCGAACTCGTTAACTGCGGAGGGTCTAGATAAGTGGCCGCAACAATGTATAAATCGACGATTATCTGTCTCCCACTCAGCGTGTAAGCGAGCCTGGGTAAACGTAAACAAGATGGAGTCATATTTCGCACGGCGCTCGACACTTCAAACGCGTGCCGCGCGAGTGTCGGTGTACCAATTACCGTCGCAAAGTGGAAACTCCTTACTTTTGAGTAGAATCTTTATACGAATTTTACTCAGAGATTGGTGAAACCTTCCCGATCAATGTATATCTAGAAATATCATTTTTCAAATACCTATTAACGCTTATGTCAATTTTAAAAAATTATAAGACTTGAAGTAATGTTACATTGATTTGAAAATTGAGTAAAGTTACAGTGATTTACTTTGAAGCATGAAAATACAATAGAAAATAATATAATTCATTAGATAAGATACAAAGAAGATTACCGGATTAACATTTCTTAATTTAAGTATTAATTAATATTATTAGGCATCTTTTATTATTTTCATGTTATTCCCAGCTACAATTATTACATGCAATTCATTTCTCTAGATAGAAATCACTGCAATCCTTTATTTTATAATTTTTTCTTGACTAATTTCAAAACAGTTATTTAACGATTAATAATTTCCTAGCACAAAAAGTAATTACTCGTTGCATTAAAATTATTCAAAACGAATGTTCATTTTGACAGTTAGTTGACTATAAAATTTATTTAAAAATTTTAATATAAGTTAAGTATTCATAAAGATAAAACAACCCTCTTCTTTAATTGATTTTGTTTCAACAGAATAACATTCGTGTTCATTAAATTAAATGCCGAAACCTTTGCCGTGAATCTGGCTTGAATTTATAAAGGTAGGGAGTTCAATTATTTATAATACAAATCAAATGGCAACTTAATTAACAGAAAAAATTTTCATTTAAAGGTTAAACTGTTCTTGATCGCTTCGAGATCGTTTTTATGGTATCGTTTAAAGGACGGTAAGAATAAATTGGATTCACTTACAATTAGCAAGAATAACGGGATCAGAACATTTCGAAGCACATTATACGGACTGAGGGCCATTACACACGTCTGTAATTAACGCTGATTATTATTCAAGAACCGTGTTGCCCTATCGAAATTCGTTCTGTGCGACTTGTCGGTGGATAGCTGCCACTTAAAATGCATGACATCCCCTGGCCGAACGACATTGAAAGTGTTTCAAGAATGTACATTACGTATACACCGAAAATTTGGCATTATCGGAGATCCTATCATTTCGACGTTAAAATAAATAAATTATTTGGGCAAGAATGTCCACGGAAATTATTTAATATGTATCGCATTCACCGAGTTCTCTTGAACTTTAGAAGGAAATTTCACAACAATTTTCTCTTTATCGAGTTAAAGTTTTTGAAATCGTGAAAAACAAATGCATTGAAAGGAATAACGAGATTTTGTATTCACTTAACGAAATACAGAATGTAAGAATTAAATAATATTTTTACTTCGATAAACTGGTGTGCCTTAAATAGATTATATTTTACTATGTTTTTATTTGGAACGGTTGAACTCGAAACAAAATTGTTTATAGATAATTTGTTTCGTGTTGATGTATTTTAGAAATGGTTTTAAGTAGGTTTATTAGCATTATTTTTAAAGAACAATATATTATGCAGTTTTAAATATGAAAATCTGTAAAAGTTTTCGTGTTACTGCATTATTAACACTTCATATCAGAATATAATCCCCGTCTGGAGGATTATCGGGATAATCATTTAACATTGATATGTACGTGCACGCTTTGCACGGTTCAACAATCAGTTCGGTAGTTCATCCCATAATAATTCATTAATTGCTAGCTTTCTTTGGAAAGTTCCCGAATTTCCATATCAATAAATAAGTAAAGTGCGAATTACTGAAACATATGAATTGTAAATGACACCTCATTAGATAGAGCATTAACGTTCTGAACACAATGTTAATATATTCAACGAAACAAACTTATAGAACCTAAAAGTACATTATCACAAAACTAGAAAAAAATCTACTATCTAACACATTTCAAAACAACAAAATCAAAGATACTTAATAATCAGACTGAAAAATATCAACTTATGGAAAATTTAAATGCAAAATTGCACAGGATACTTATGACAACAAGAAATATACAAAATATATGAAATGCAATGCCCTTTATGTCTATTAAAAGAACACATTCAAATGTGTTCTAATTACATACTGAAAAATTGCGTGGAGCTCAGCAAACTATTAACACTACTTCTATCGAAGGTGTCGAAAGACACCTTTTGAAATTCTAATTTGAAATTATTTTCTCAGTTTAATCATTTCTTCTCAATTGAATTTCGTGCATTTCCTATGGTTAATTTTATAATCGTTATTGGAAAAATTAAAAAGTCAATTCAGAATATACGACTAAACTTGAAAAATAATTGTAAGTTAAAACTTCGAAAGTTGTCTTTTGACACCTTCGGTAGAAATAGTGTTAATAATTAATTAAAATATTAGTGGAATGTTTTAAGAATCCGCAATACTTGTTTCTCACTATCCTGGCACGATCGAAAACAATCGGCTCGCGACATCCGATTTATTTTCGTTTAAACGTTTCTCCTGACAAACAAAGCACCGCGAAGATGAAAAAGCGCCGATGCTGGAGGGTAGACGCACGTGCGTTCGGCTTCGACAGTGTCAATCGCGGTGCTTCCCCTTTGAATTTTCTTAGCACCGCTTCAGTTAGTCAGCGAGACGCGTGCAGAGAACATCGTCGAGGCTCTCTGGGGACAATAGAGACACATAACCAGCCGACCGACTTCCTCTCACCGAGTTTTCACTTTCCTTCGGAAATAAGACAATTTACACGATGCTGCCGATAACGTAAGAACCATCGCAACGTTCCTTTACGAATTTCCACTCGAAAATTCTATCCATTTTCAACGAGCTCGCGGAAATCCTCCAAAGTTTCCTCGTGCTTTTACTGCCATTGTTGGAAGCGCATGGAATATTTTTTTCAATGTGTCTCCTACATTGAAAAAAACGGAGCTGACCCGACGTTTCGATAGAATTTGTTATATGTTTATACAAACGGAGGAATTTTGGTTCGTTTTCATACGCGAGTGTAAAGTGCCTGTGAAGATTTCTATGTCACCTTGTTGCGCATTATATATCTTCGCGTTTCGAACTTTCCCTTGATTGTATTGAAAATAAGAAATATTTTGGAGAAAATCTACTCAATTATGTTAGATATAAGATGTGTTAAAGATAAGGAATATTTTGAAGAAATTACTGCACGAAGTGGTGGTAGAAGTTCGTTAAATGTAACGAAGAAAGTTTCGACGAAGTAAATGTTATTTTATTAATTCGAGTTTTTGGGGAAATATGAGAATTTCTTCAGGTAAAATGTTGCACGCCACCTATGAACGGCGAGGATAAAAAAAAAATTAGTTGAATAGAGAGCTTAACCCGTCCCTTTCCTGGGAAACTTACTTCAATTACGTATATCTAGTTCGAAAGAAAGTTTGTGTCTGTAAAGTTTGGTCTGGTGGGATGGCATTTCGTGCGCGGGAGCCTAATAATTTCACAGACTAGACTTTTTACTCCCGATTTCTCGTTTTTCGAGATTTATTTTAACGAGTAACGTCAGTTCGCCGCGAACTTTCCGCAGCCATGTTACACGTAATTTAATAGTGCGTAATTTCAGAAAGCGGAAACCGGATGACATTCCCAAACGACGGAGTTTTGGAAAAACCACAATTTACACCTGCTCCAATTGCCAATACAAAAGTAATCGACAATTCAATGTAGATAGACACAAGCAGAGGATCCACGTGACCCACAAGATACGCCACTGTTGCGGTAAGTGAATATCAATTTTTACAATTCAGATTATAATCATATTAGTTATTTGAACAAATATTTTTAACTGTAAAATCTTCGTTGAAATTGGAATCCTTAGTAAATAAATTATAATTCAGGAATAGATTATGTTCTGCTACTTTTGATTACTTTACCTTGAGTTCATACTCGTTTAATTATTTAGAAACAAGTGTATTTTGTGGATTTTCCTATGCTTCACGTAAAAGGATTTATTGTTAAATAACGAAATTAAATTGTTGTTGATTAATCATCCTAATAGCTGTCCGTCATCGTTAAAAATTTTAGAAACATAAGAAAATTAAAGAAAAGATGTTACGTGCGAGAAAATTGATTTTTGTTACTCGTAAAGAAAAAAATTTCAAATAAAATCATTTTATAAATCTTGTGATCAATTTCCAATTTATAATAATTGTGATCCTATAGTTTGCAATGTAACATTCTCCAAATGGCAGAATTTAATTCATAAATCAAAAAGCTAATATAAAACTGTTTGAATGAAAATCGAAAGAAAATTAAATGTATGTACTCCATTATAAATGTAAATTTCTCCATTTATTTAAATTTGATTAAAATTAATCAAATCATTAATTCCTTTCACTTCTCACAAGAGTAATTTATTTTTGCTCGAAAGTGATGTTGCTTTGGTTAGATTTTGAATGGATCGCAGGCTGAAACAAAATTGGAAATTAATGGTGAAACGCGACGCGGAGACAAAGTTGTTTAATAAACCGAGCCCTGCGTCCTTTATTTCGGAGATCGGTTCGATTATCGCGACGCGGTCCAAACAAACCGAGCGATGTAGTGGATCGGGAATCTGACCATGCCGCGCGTTCTTTGTTGTTTCTCCATCCCGCTTAGATAAAACCGTCAGTCGGCCTTTTGAAGCGTTCTCCAATAATAATCCAATGTTCGGGTGTCAATTCCGTCCTCTCATTTCGCCTTTGCAATCCGTTGCGGGATTTTTATCGTCGGCCTCGCACGCGACGAATGAATCAATAAATAAATGGATCCGAAACGGAACGATTCACTTGAAGTTGTCGAGTTATATACATATATTTGAGTACAAATTTTAGTAGTATACAATTATCAATTTTGAAACTCGCTTATGAAACATTTATACAAGCTATAGGTAAATTATTTAATCTTTTAAGAAATTGATTTTAAAAAGTGTGTCAAACAGAAACGACTTATTTTATTACTTTGCTAAATGAATATTTATAAATTATCTATTCTTCTTTGTTATCTTTGGTGTTTTTAGGCAGATAGATTGTAAGGAATTAGAAATCTTCAATTTATACATACTCCCAAGAAAAATAATCGTATCAATAATTAAATTTAAATTTATATTCAAACAAATGATAAATATTGAACTAAATAGTAAAAATATTAATATATGAAAACAATATAAAATGTTGATGATTAAATGTTTCATTGAGTATGTAATGACAATTACAAAATGAAGAACAAAGAATAATGTAAAACAACTATCCGAAAAACAGAAAAAAGACACGATTTCGCTTCCCTCTTTTCTCTCTCACTCTCGCACGCAAACACTTGAGAGTCATCATACTTAATATTCAAATTCCGGATCACAGCTTGCCTATCATTGTTGATTAGGCGCCGTTCGTTTACCGCAAAGACGAACGGCCCTCTCCAAAAACGCGCGTTCTTTATTTTCGAAGACGGCCGATCGCGCCAACGGCTCGGTTTCCTATATAAATAACGTATAAAACAATCAATCATCTATCTTTCACAGGGAAACAATTCTTCACCAAGGGAAGCTATTATGTCCACTGCGAAAAAAGCCATCCTCACAGCCGGTTGCACTCGATCACATCTCGAAGCAAATACAAAATCACCCACGAATCGGTTACAAGGACTGACGACGAAGAAGCCGATCACTCGCACGCTGATTACGAAAGCAAACCCTCGTACGAAGTGCAATTCGAGCGGAGATACTCGGAGAGGGTCCGACTAAGGAAAAAAAAGGCAGTAGAATCCGAAGTGAGCTTAAGCTACTCGTTCACGTACAGCGACGTCGACATGGAGAACATGCCCCTGATAAGTTTCCTCACCGATCGGAGGCTGAAACAGTACCTGAAAAGACTAACGGAGTCGCAGTTGGCGAGCAACAATAACAAGAAATCAGAAGATACAAGTCGTACCCTAAACTTCGCCATCTCGTCGCAGCAGGACATGGAAAAGGCGCGGCCCGAAGATGGCGAATTGAACGTTAAAGACGTTTCCGATTCGACTGTTGCCGCGATTTCGCAGGAATTGCCGGTGAAGAAGCTTATTTTGCACCGGTTCAGAACGAACGTTACCCGGAAATTCGGGACACCGTTATGGGAGCAAAATAATAATGTCTCTAGCCAAGTGAGTTTCGCGGAGAATCGAAGCAACGACTCGAACCCGGTGCGGCAGAGTCACGCGAAAGCGTCAATGCGATGGTTGGACAAGGAGAACGTGTCGACGTTCTCGTTCAGCATGGAACAGCTTCATATAGAGCTGGACAGGGGTATCGCGGTCCCGGATGTCTCCCAAGTACACCGAGACTTTCTGGAGGCGATTGATTTTGATAAGTATAGGATATTTTAAATGTTGGCGTTGGAGAGATGAATGGTTGAGAGGTACTACTAGAACACTTGATGACTAACCAAGGAAGGTTTTCAACTAGGACATCCTGACTTTGATGAAACTTATGTGAAGCATGGTTCTCGAGAAAATATTTAACACTATTTTTTCTTATTGCCTAATATCCACTTTGAAGGGGTGAAAACAAAGTTCAGGATTGAAATTGCACCTTTTACATCTCTGAAACTAGGGGGTGTAGGAAATTAAATTCTTCTTAAATTATTCGTCTCAAAATGGACAATTTAGATTTCTTTTATACACCCAGTAGTTTCAGAGATATACAAAATCTACTTTCAACTCTTTCAATCCTTTCAACCTAAAAGATTCCCTTATAGGCTAAGAACTTCGGGTGATAGATCGGTGTTGATTGTTTATCGCCTAATTTTCTGATGATCTCATCTCTTAATTTGTGATGTCTTCGATTGTTAATTTACTGTTCTTCAATATGGTTAGGCATATCCAATTAAGACTATGACGTTATAGAATAGAAAGACATCTCTTGCTCTTGTGCTGTTGCACTAGACATCAAGTCATGTCCCAACTACTTGTTCGTTGTTCAGAAGAGCTTCAAACTGTCATATAGATAAGAGGGTTTATGTATGTGTGTTGTTCATAGTTTTAATTGGTTATGTGCAATCGTATTGATGAATAGCAAATTAGTGTAGAAAGTGAGATGGCAGAAGATGAAAGTTGACCAATTAGGCTGGCATACTTTTTAGAGTTCTTCTAGTGAACAACATGGAGTACTTTTTATTGCTCAAGGGTTAATATCTGGATGACATGTGGCCTTAGTTGATGTGTATTTGTCTCCTGTTGTGTCTTTTATGGCAATTTGCTATTCGTAAATACGATTACATGTTGTCAGTCAAAAGTATAAAGAAACATAGTGGAAAATATAATGAGTTTAAAAAAATTTAGAGTTACTGTTTTTCGAATCAGCTGAAAGCTCACGTTTATTTTTTAAAGTTAATACGAGAGTTTAATAGTTATATATACCTTGTTATTTATTCTTTAGAAATGAAGGATGAAAAAAGTATTTAAATGGTAACTGCATACCAAAGATAAATGATATGACTGTACTACCTCGTAGTATATTATTGAACGTGATATACTTTGCAAAGTACATATAAGTAAAATATAAATGTAAGTTTCTACGTATAGTACTTTCATATAATACCAAATTATGTTTATAATTATACTTTTATACTGTACCAAAGAACCCATATCGTTGTTGCACAAAGCAAAAATGTATTTTGTAATACTTCTATATTTTTAATATAATGAACTTATTTATTACTGTGCTGTACTTATTTTATATAATAATATATTATAGCATTATTAAAACAACTTCGATATAAGGCTCAAACTTCTTTCAATCTATCATTATGCCATAAGAAAGATTAGAAAAATTATAATACATCATTTAAGATTCCCAAAAGATTAACTCAATTGAATATTTCCAGCAACATTCAAGCAAAATCAATCATTCCATAATTACAAAAGAATTCTCTTATATTGTATTATTTTTTAATTGACCTGGCATTACGTAACAAGTCTCAAATATTAAACTCTTACGCAACACACGTGTTATTACACCGTAATACCCTCACCTATTTCTAATAATTAAAAAATAGGACTAAGAGTATTATGTAACACGAATATAGTATTACACAACGAAGGCTGATTTAAATGTAACAAAATACGTATGCGCTGTAATATATTTTGCAAAGTGTGAATCACATTCCGCCCGATAAACCGAGAACTCGCAAAACACGTGGACGCGGCCACCAAAGATCCAGCTATCGTTCTCATTGCGACTGAACACTGTTCCGCGGTTGTTATTTTAATAAAGTGCACTTTAAGACCGATATTATGCGGCGAAACGCTTGTCTTGCATAAACCTACACCTGCTTCACCTCTTACCCCGAACCATTCACAAGCGGAAGCGCCACGTCACTTTCTCAAGCGTCAGCATTTTGTTTAATGCCTCTATTTTAAACCTTTTTATAGCCTTCTAGCAAACGAACTTCTGAATATCCTTTGACCACCCATCCACCAGCACTACCTCCTCATCCACCCCTTATATTCATCCCCTTGGGAAACCGTTTCATCATTGAGAACAGGAAGATTCGTTTGCATATTGCATATAATTTTTTAGCGTTTTACGGGGTGACCTACTTGAACTCTTTGATGTTGCTGGAACCGCAACGAAGGGGAAGCAGAAATAAAAAGGAATTGGAACATGGCATTTAATCGGAAGTGGCACATGGAGAATTATTTGAATGGAGGTGCGAAGCTAAGAAAATTAATTCTGATATTATGAAATGATAGTTCTGTTTTGAAGTACCTAATTTTGCAATATGAGGATGAGTATGTTTTGAATTTATTGATTAAAAATAAGTTCATTAATAGATAAAATTCAATGTATACTAATTACTTGGTTTTATCTTCTTCCTGTAATTTGATATACTTATTTTACATAAAAGTGGTATAGAATAATTATTTACATAATTGTGAGTGACATTTATTATGATTTGTTTATAGGTCAATCATACTTGCAACACAAAGTGAGTCAAATAAACTTTCAATTGCAAATAATTCTTTAATAATTAGCAAATCTACAAATTAGTTTTCTAACCAACACCTCTTTCACATAAAGTATGAATTATTCTATCTCCATTCAGTATTATAATTTTAATTATCTAATTTTTGATTCCATGATCAACTTACAGAGAATCTATAATATTTTTACTAAATGAACAAAAATGTACATACATTAATGAAAACCACCATTGCTACAAAATCTTTCCTCTCAATTCAAAACTAACTTCGTGTCACATTAAAATTCGTCAAATTACAGATTTTATTCGTCCGACAGTATTATACTCGTCTCCAAATTCATTTTATAAAATATTTCTTCCAATTACACGTTACGCGAGAAGTCAATACTTTAATGTAAACCGTTCGCAATCAAGCATTCGATCATGTATCGACGATCAGAATTTTTCAATTGCCGTTGTAATCGTCAAGGGAGCAACTCAACGTTACCAACGCCGATTGCATTATTTTATAAACTCGGGACACGTAAAACGTCACGTACGTTACAATTGGCTGGAGCAATTATCTCGTTCCGTCCGTGTAGGAGCGTGACAATGTGTACGTATGCATGTGTGTATGTGTGTGTGTGTTTAGTGTGTGTGTGTGTGTGTGTGTGTGTGGGGTCGGGGTGTTAACGAACCGGACAATGAGTAGTCACGGTTCGTTAGATACTCAACAACCAAATAATTAGCGGCTGCATTCGGATTCCCATGTGTCTGAATTTCGGACACAATGTCACACCTCTGCGGCGGCACTGTGCTTCAATGTCAAATTTCATTTTACATTAATCTTTATTATATAGGCCCAATATTCTATCTCTATGTATAGGTATACATTGTATTCAATCAATCAACTAGAAATTTGTCTCTTCCATTAACTGGTTTATTAACGTTGAACTGAAATATAGATTTCAATTGTACCGTATTGATTTTTTTCGGTGTACTGATTGAGTTTTAGATTTTTGAGATTGATATGGATACATGAAATTTGTGTCCTGATGATAATAGTTCATTTTATTATAGATTGTGATATTCTCTTAATATAGTTAAGTATTTTTTATCAGAGAATTCAGAAATAAAATCATTGGTAACTTAATTGGTACCTCCAAAAATGAAGTGAGAAAATATTAGAATATGTTATTAAAGAACGTATGCCGCAAAGATTGTAAAGAAATTATTTTCGAAATACTAATCTGAAGAATAGAAGCTTTAATTATCAATTAATTGCTTATTATATCAATAAATACTTTAATAAGTATAGACAGTTATTGATTATAAAACGTGCTTTAAGGCAATTATATTAATAATAATATTTTAGTAATAATAATTCGATGATTTATTCGTATTTTACGATTTTGCAATATTATCGAATATTCGAGGCTTTCTGGAGCGGCAATCGATGCAACGCCGGTGCATTCGCGATCCATCATACCAGTTCCAGTGCTGATGAAAATCTCTTGTACACTCGTCGACGGTAAAATTGGTTAATCCGATTTCCCGTGAAATTTCCGTGGAAAGTCTAATGAAAATTTGACCGGACCACCACAACGAAATACTCGTTCCGCTTCGGTTCCTGGCAACGAGAGAATTCGAAAGCGTTGTTTATGAAACTATCTCCGCCCTTGGATCACCAGGCCCGCGCTTCTGCTGAATTTGAAAGCACATCATGTCGCGTTCGTTGAACAACGGATTACTGCCGCGGATGGGTTTATTTTATAACTTAATACGCAATCACAAAGAATAACTTTAATTTCATCCTCGGAGCATGTTTGCGAACAGAATGATTAACTCTTTCAGTCATTTCAAACTTGTCTCTCGAATATAATTCCCTTTGAAGTGCGATACGTATTTATAACCTTATTTATTCTCAAGTTCCTGTTTTAATTATTCCCAAATTAAAATCTCATTATTAAACTCGGAGGAATCCAGTCAATTCTGAATTTATATTCATAACAAAGGATGGAAAGAAGAATTCTATCATTGATTACTAATAACGAGACTCGCGATAGAATACAGAAATTAATTTAAGGGATACCAATTCAATATTTTCATGATCGAAACGTAATACTATTTTTGTATTTTGAAAACTTGTGAAAATAGAATCTTTCACCTTTAACCCTTACTTTATCTAAGCTCACAGATATCTACAAATTAGAAATATTGAAAACATAAGATATAGTCTTAATAATATTCTGTATAATATTTATAATAAGTTCTATATAATTATTTATAATAATTTCTATACAATATTTACAATAAAATATAAAATAATAATATTCTTATACCATTTTCAAATTGGACAGTATTTGTAATAAAATAAGAATGCGACTAAGATGCAACAATTAAACAAACAAAATACTGCTAAGA